AGGGGGAGGGAAAAGGAAAGGGGAGGGAATAGGAAGGGGGAGGGAATAGGAAGGGGGAGAGAAAAGGGAGGGGGGAGGGAAAAGGGAGGGGGCTTGTCGTCGTCGGTTGACGTGGTTGTCGTCGTCCTCGTCGTCCGTTGACGTGTGGCTGTCGTCGTCGTCACTGATGTGTCATCGTCCGTCGTCGTTGTCGTGTCGTCATCCAGGCATTGTCCGTTGGCGTGGGCGTGATTGGAGGTGACCACGCTGGTCGCAGTGACAGTGGTTGTGGTTGTGGTTGACAGCAAAACGGAGATGCTGATGGTGACGCCGGCAAACGCCGTGACTCATTTAGGAAGGTGGGCGTCAGGATGGGTTATATAGAATTAATGTTGCTAGGCATTTAACAGCCATATGGTGTAGCAGAAATATCGCTGCTCAGAGATTCATGTGATATTTCCCGAGGCTAGAGTTCAATCCTCATGCATCCACTTATTTTTTATATATATTATAATAACAACAACAAATAATGGAATTCATTGGAATGTCTCGGAATCTGTTGGAATTTGACTGGAATATATTAAATGTACTTTCCATTGGAATTCCATGGAATCTGGTTGGAATTCCAATGGATTCCAATGGAAACTGTTCCGGGAGGCTCCCGGATTCCAACCATTTCCACTGGATTCCGTCGGATTCCATTGGAATTTCCATGGAATTGGAAACCAGAATGGCTGAGGCTCCAGCCAACTGGTTTCCATCGGAATTCCATGGAATTCCGACATTCCACTTGGAATCCGCCGGATTCCGCCGGAACTCATGGGGGATGGTAAAGACCTCGGAGAAGGAAGGGGGTACATGGAAATGGGGAGGGACTGCGAAGGGGGATGGGGGTACATGGAAATGGGGAGGGACAGGGAAGGGATGGTAGAGGAAGGGGGAAGGGAGCCAGGGGGAGGGACAAAGAAGGGGGAGGGACAATGAATGGGGGAGGAAGGGTGAATGGACCACGACGGGGGGAGGAACGGTGAATGGAGGGACCACTTGTCGTCAGGCAGAGNCGTGGACGTTGTCGCATTTGCGTTGGACAGTTGTCCCATTGTCATGGGTGCTGGGCGTCGTTTCGTGGGCGCTGGTGGTGTACGTGGGCACCGGGCGCTGTTTCGTGTCCGCGGGGTGTTGTTTTGCATTCATTGGTGGTGTACGTGGGCACTGGGCTTCATTTCGTCGGCAGCGTGTTGTTTTCATGGGTGGTGGGGAGTTTTCGTGGACGGGGTGTGCCGTTGTGCACTGTTGTGGGTGCTGGGTGGGGTGTTTTCGTGGGTGAGGTGGTGCCGTCGTGCGTCGTGTGGGTGCTGGACGTTGTTTTGAGAGTGCTGGGGTGGTTTGAGGGTGGGGTGGTGCTGTTGTGGGGTGTTCTCGTTGTCTTGGGTTGGCCGTTGTGTAGAAAGCATATGTGTGGGGGCCTCGAGACCTGTTGCCGTCGATTGGGTGCCACGTCGCTGACCGCGACATGGCACCTGGTTTTTGTGTTGAGAGACGAGGGAGGAGAGGGTTGTGGGTGCTTACCTGGTTCGTGTGCCGTGGTGATGTGGCACAGCGTTGTTGTGTTGGCGACGTTGCTGGATCTTGGGTGAGCGGCGTGGTGGTTGATGTGAGCCCCCTCACGTTGCTTAGCCCATGGCAGGCACTCACAACGTGAGGGGGGTGGTTACGTGGAGTGACGACGGTGGTGGTGGGAGGAGAGAGGGTTGTATTTGGATGAGCGTGAAAGCCGTTGCCAAACAAACAATTGTTTGGCAATGGGCTTGTGCCAAACAAACCAGATTCCGGTTGCGCATTCCGTTTTTACCAATCCGGGGACCATTCCAGTCACAATTCCAGAATGCCGAAATTCCACCGGAATGAAGAAAATAGCAGGCCTCCCTGCTAAATTTCATTCCTCTGGAATCCACTGGAATCCACAGGAATGACCAGAATCCTGCAGGAATTAGGGGGGCACTGATAAGACCTCATGAATCCTTCCAGCCTAGTGATCGAGGAGAAGAGCACGTAAAATTGATTGAGTTACGAAGGGAACAGGCAAGGGATGCCCTAGTTGTTGCTCAGGAATGTCAAGCCAAGGCTTTCAACAAGAACCAGCATCCAGTTGAAGACATTCAGCCAGGAGATCAGGTGCTAGTAAACCCACATACACTCAAACTGGTAGAGGTAGAAGGCATGGGACAAAAATTAGTGCAGAGGATGATAGGCCCTTTCAAGGTCATGGACCACATCAACCCAAACATATACCATCTCTGACTACCTGACTCTTAACCCATGCATCCTGTCATCAATATCAATCACCTAAAAAAGTATAAGCCATCCCCATCCGAATTCGAAAACCAGAACATCTTACCATCCACTTGAGACTTCCTACCATCTGAGGAGTATGAGGTTGAAGCTATTCTTGGCCATAAATTATCTGGAAGGAAGAGGGGTAATAGGAGGATGTTTAGAGTAAGATGGGTAGGATACAGCCCAGAATCGGACTCTTGGGTCTTGGAAGCTGATCTATGCAAATCACTGGAGCTCAAGAGAGAATATCTAGCTAAATTGGGACTAAACTAGACAGTCATCCCTGCATCCCCATAAAATTCAAGAGGAGAATTCAAACACCACTGGACTTTAAGAATAGGAAGAAGGAGAATGGACCCCAACATTCAAGCTCAAGGAATACCCTCTCATTTCCACTGTCCTTACTCCAGAGTCTACTCTAAGCCCTTCAACTATGGATTAATCATGCCAGAAGCACTAGCAACTGTGCCCCTAATTCATGTCAACCCCTCATCTGTTTGTCCCAATCCCTTGTGCAACATCAAAGCACCTCATGATTTCTATGATTTGGTCCCAATAACCTCCATACCAATAGGAGTGCCATGTCTGGAGATAGCTCACTTTACCCATCCAAACCTGTTCTCTACAGTGAACTGTTGACAGTTGATATCACCGATTCCATTTGATCCAAGAAACCAACCTTGGGTATACCTGCCAGGGGGTTATGGCACAGTGGGATTACTGAAGACAAGTATAGAAGGAGAGGGTTGGGTGATATACAATGCAGTTAGAGAAGGGAGTTTGATTGCTCAAGTGGCCCTTCCAAAGTATCAATGTTGGTGTTGGAAATGGTGGTAAAAAGAGAAGTGGGCTGTCATGAGGAAGAAGCAACTATCCGACCTTTATAACCACTGAAGCTTCACATGGGAACTCATCTTCCACGCCTTTATGTTCTATATAAAGCAAGGAACCAAGTCTCAATTTGATGTACATACCTACCTATAGTTATCATAACTTACCAGGTCAAACAATTATGCAATGGTCAAGTCAGATGATGGGAAAATCATGACTGCTTCCTTTCCCACTCAATCGCTATTATTGATTCCCTTATCAAGTTGAATTCACAGCTTTGAGCTGTCTAACTCCTTACACAAATACTCCATTACTTTGCTCAAGTTCATCAATACACCCCTCTTCGAATCACTGGATATGGAAACGAGTACTCTCTTTATGCATATGAAAATGCCTACCAGTTACAACTCCCAACAGTATGGAGCCAGAAGAAGGAAGAGCTGTTTCGGCTATTTTGAGCTTCCGGTAGTCGACAATACATTATCGTTTCTTATACCTCCCTTTTCCAGAGTACACAGCCAAGTCATCACCATGAGAGGGAAAAGCTGGGAGATTTGGTCCCCCAATTCCTTAACTGAGGCCTTTTATCCAGGCATTCGAGCTCCTGGGTATGATGTTGTGATGGAAGTCGACACAACAAAGTGATGCTTTGATGGACATCTAGGCCACTTCAATCTGATGAAGTCTCCCCAGCATTATGACCCATGTCGACCTTGGTTAGCATTCGTGCGTAGGGATAGGGTACCCCCATTAAAGATCGAGCATGTCCCTATCTGGACTGCCTGGGTCAGTCTGGCTCCCACACATGAAGCCGTAGACTCAGGGCAGTTGGACTCAGCTTATATGGTGCAACTCACTAGCCGAAACATTGAACTAGACACAACCATCTCTGCCTTAGTCCGTGTAGCCAAGATCAGATGCAAATATTGGGATAATCAACTGATACGACTTACGGAAACAGAATTTAGGGAGTTGGGCAGAGATATTCACTACACAGACGCCGTAGACAAGGTAGCAGCGGTTCAGAGAGGCATGAAGTTGAAGGACACATGGATCAAGGTTATGAACATCATTATGAAGGAGGGAAATGAGGCAATATCGGAGGACTGGCTATCGGAAGTGCCTTTCACAGTGGAGAATGTACTGGGAGCTTGGATCAACAGTGCTAAGGAAAACAAAGTCTATTGGTTACTAAAACATAGGATCCCCTGTTTCATTATCCATGAGATCCCGACTTCTGAACTGTGTTTCTATAGGGAGGAACCCAAGAGTCCTGATTTTGTTGCCTCCACAGACACACAATACCTAATCCCTGAATGCAATGGATTTGATCATGTTGCTCACAAGTGGAAAGCCTCAATCAATGCAGTGTCTGATCAGGGACGAATACCATAAAGGACGTACAGGACAGTGGAAGACAGACCATCTACACCAGCTGGCAGAGTCACCCCTTGAGGACACTGTGTCACCTAGCAATCAACCAATTCAACCAGAACCTCAGATTGGATCTGCTCCATTGAACCAAACTGAACCAGACCATGGTCCAGTCTTTTTTTTGGTTGCCTCAACCACACCTGCTTTGTCAACAGAAGATTGAGCTAGGTCAAGTCCATTAGCACAGGGATGGAATGGTACCAAGCACTGGTTACTAGAAGAGACTCCTGAGGTAGTAATGAAGTGACCTTCACACTTATTCCCCATTCCAGCTCTCTTGAACACCCAGCCACTCCCAAGTATGACTTTCACCACCAACATCCCTGAGCCAGAAGTAAGGGTACTAGCACAGGACAGAGTTGAATGGCTAGTCCCCCCCACTATAATGGCTGTCACCCCTGGAAAATGGACAGACAATGTGGAAGGAAGAGGACCTAGACTGAAATACTTCCTGCTTCTGCCTGGTAACCTCACATCCCAACGATTGCGAGCAAGTATGTTTCGACTGAGTCTTGAGGAGACAGTTATTCTTTGTGGAGCACTTTGAAGTACCCTTGGGATTGGTATCTGATATAAACATATTCGGATTTCCAGCTCCTGCTGTGTAGTTTGTGGAACTGTCCAATGGAATAATTACTAAGGAGTATCCTGCCTCACATTGGTTGTATACAATGCCTACAGCAAAATCGGGTACTGTAGGGCAGAGAGCAGCAACTCCTCCTCCAGAAAAGTTGCCGCTGAGGTTGACTCTATGAATGCACCAGTACCAGCCTCACCAACCAACTTCAAAGTCATCCTCATCCTCAGCAACTATTCCCCCTAGTCCACTTCCAATGGCCAACTCGAGCAGTCCACTTCTTTCGAAACCAATCCCCACTAAACCGTGAGTGCATCATCAAGGGATAGAACAGAGTGTGCAGATTCCCAGGAGCAGTGAAAGTTCCTTGGGTCATTGTCTGTGAGCATCCACTCTAGAAGAAGGGAATTCCTCAAGCATTGGGGGCAATACACTCTCAAAAAGGTTAAAAAGTATGGAAAAACTTGCTGAGCAAAATCTGGAGGTCCCCTCCCCCACTTTAGCTGCATCATCCATACCTCCTTCACCTGAATTGGAAAATAATCCCTCACAGCCTCCCTTACAGTCAGATCTTCAGGCAAATGTAGGGACAAATGAAGCAATGGACATTGACACTATTGCGGATAGTGATGATTCTGACTCACATTTTTTGTGCTTTGAAGGATTACCTTTTGAGTGGGAAGCTTGTCAATCCTGGTTCTACAGGAAAGCCGTCTCCTCGCATATTGTGTGGATCAACTGGATGTTCAGAACTATTTCAAACTCTCATTCCATGATCTGGTTAGATCTCAATAGCAATGAAGATGCATGCAAATTATGTGGTTATCTAACTCACAGGACAATGGGGAAGTGTTCTTTGGTAATCAGTCATTTCGTCTCTGAGGCTACATTCAATGAAGCTACACATAATTACACAGATAAATGGGAACGACCCGCTGCTCCCCCGCCGACCCCGTCAGATGATTACATGGAAGGATCCTCACAGACTGTTCCCCTTGAAACATGACTCACTTCGCCTCGGTGGTCCCCTCCTCCACCCAATGTCACCCTTCTTCATAGAGCCAGAGTTACGTTGGAGGAGTGAGTGGAAGGAGCTACCCAACAATGGAGATGAGCTGGAAAGAAACACTGCAAGTTGAAGGCATGTTACCAATCGGACACTTAACTGGTCTTATGATGTGGGGGGCTTTGTGAGGATAAGTAGGAGACATCAAGCAACCTGTACTTGTATTATTTGTAGTTGTCATCATGTACTTCTCGGAACCCCAACTTAGGGTTCTGATTCACTTCTTGATCTAATACCATCATCTTGCATGCTATGTCCACTGACTAACAGCTCACACTTCACAAGCCTTAAGGGCTTGTGATCTCTTCCGTCAACGCTTCTGGCCGGCTGAGCACCCTGACAACTGCTCACTTTCAATGGAGTCAGCACTGACACGCTGTCAGCCATCCACTTCCTCTCTCTCTACTTCACTCACGAGAAGTCAACATACACAGTTTCACACTTTCCCTCCCCCTCCCTTTCCCTCCCCCACTCCCCCCCCCCTTCTGTATAACGTTAAATGTAATAAAATTAATCTATGTAGTTATTAAATATACTTTAATTTTCTTCTTGTTTTGAAATCTAAGGGTGCTTGAGGTCTATGGCAGTCCAGTCCAGTCCAGTCCAGTTTTGTGTTGGGAGAGTCCAGTGGAGTCCAGTTTTGTGATTGGCAGTCCAGTCCAGTCCAGTCCAGTCCAGTGGAATCCAGTGGAGTCCATGTAGATTATATGCAATACTTTACCCTCCCCGGGTTATTCCATATGGACTGGATGGAATCCATACTTCCCCCAGGTGGATTCCATGGAATGGCTGATGGATTCCATGGAATGGCTGATGGATTCCATGGAATGGTTGATGGATTCCATGGAATGGTTGATGGAATCCATACTTTTTGGTTGATGGAATCCATACTTTTTCCAGATGGATTCCATACTTTGGTTGATGGAATCCATGCTTTTTCCAGATGGATTCCATAATTTTTTTGGATGGATTCCATACTTTTTCCATGTGGAATCCAGATGGAATAACTGTATGGAATCATAATTCCAGACTTATCTAAGTCCACATCATCAGTTCTACAGTTAGTTTTACACTTATTCCATACTAATAACTGAACAGGGAGAATTTAAAATGTATTGAATAGGACTACATATATTTATTTTACTACATTAAATATTGAAGGGAGAAGTGATTGAGAGGAGTGTGTGTGGTGGAGAGTGAGGGGGGAGAGAGTGAGGGGGAGAGAGTGGTGGGGATTGATGAAGGGAGGGGGGACAATGGAGGGAGAGGGAGCAATGGGAGGGGAGCAATGGAGGGAGAGGGAGCAATGGAGGGAGGGGGGAGCAATGGGAGGGGGGAGGGAGGGGGAGCTCACCTAGGCTCGTCCTTGCCCGTGTCCGTTCACGTTGGTGGGCGGTCGTCGTCATTTCGTGGGCGTCCGTTTTCGTTGGTGGGTGCTCGTTGTCGTTCGTGGGCACTCGCGTTAGGGATGGTGCTGGCTCTTGTGGGCGGTCGTCGTCTTCGTCTGCTGGGCGTTCGTTTTCGTTCGCGTGCAGTCGTCTCGTGGGCGTTCGTGGGCGCTGCGGCTCGTTTGGGTGGGTGTACGTCGTTCATAGGTGGGCGGGCTCGTCTGTTGTCGTGTCATGGGCGTTTGGGGTCCTTTGGGGTCGTTTGTGGGCGGTGGGGGTTGTGCAGGGCGGTGTGCGTCGTTCATGGGTGGGCGGCCTCGTTGGTTGTCGTGTCGTGGGCGTTCGCTGTCGTGTCTGGGCGCTCGTGGGCAGTGGGGGTCGTGTGGGGCGGTGTGCGTCGTTTGTGGGTGGGCGGGCTCGTCGGTTGTCGTGTCCGTTCGTCGTTTGGTTGCCACGTTGCTGACCGCGACGTGGCACCTGGTTTGTTGTTGTCAAAAGGTGGACTGGGAGGGGTTACCCAGTCCACTTACCTGGGCTGGAGTCGAGGCGGAACGTCCATTGACGTTCCGCGTCGTCGTCGTCGTCGCCTCCCATCCGCGTGACGGGGCGTTGCCACGTCGTGTGGCCCTTGTAACGGCGGGGTGGTTGTTGACGACGTTGCGTGTCGTCGTGCATCGTCAGCGTGGTGGTCGTCGTCAGCGTGGTGGTCGTCGTCGTCGTCGTCGACGTCGATGTCGTGGGCTGTCGTGGCTTGAGACGGTGGGGTGGATGGTGATGGTGGTGGTGGAAGGAAGAAACGACGTGGAATTGGCAACGCGTCGTGTCACGTTTGAGACGCCACGTGACAAAGGCAGTATATATATACCTTTACTTTACCTTATGATAATGCCTTCGTGGCTCAGTTGGTTTGAGCACTGCTAATATTGACGAGGTTGACTGTTCAATTCCTGTTGATGTAAAATTTCTATTTTTACTTAAATATAGTAAGGACACTATAAATACTGTATTCTAATGGTATAATGGTCATCCATGGAATCCATGTGGACTGCTCCATGGAATCCAAGGTGGATATGCCTGCATTCCATGTGGAATCCATATGGAGTGGTGTTGGAGTCCATATGGAATTAATCATTCCATGACCATTCCATGGTCATTCCATATGGAATCCATGGGGTCTATGGAATAAGAAAATGGCTGGGTCCTCAGCCAACATGGATTCCATGGATTCCATATGGAATTATCCATGGATTCCATGGATTCCACATGGATTCCATACGGAATAACCTGGGGAAGGTAAAGACCTCATTATATGGGGGATGGCAAAGTATTGTAACCCCAAGTTCACCAAGATGGACATGGAGAACGCAAGACGAGTTATATGGCGCACAAGCCTCCCTAGGACATGGGATGAAATGCTCCTAAGGTCAATTGTAATCCCAGAGCATCGTGTTCTCTGACATTGCAAGTACACAGCAGGGGGGCTATGTAACATACTATGGATGTTCACTCACTTAGCTCCCTCATCCCTTCTAGTTTACGTGACGCTTTCTACTTGCAACCTACCTATTATCTTTGTCATACTTTCTCATGTTGTACTTAGTTGACACGCTTCAACAGCTGATCAATATCATCTTTTTTACCACCATCTACCTATCCTTCAGGATACGAGAACTCTGTACTAACAGACCTCTACTCCTGTTCTAGGTGATTAGGGCTGATTGGAGAGTTTGGACACCTCAGAAAGGTTGACTTGATGAGGGTGAACAGTTATTGATTCTATGGTTGATGTAGGCATCAATACATGTTCTTGACTGACCACCCCAGTACAGTGATTGACTCCTTCCCTAGTGGGTCATCACACCTCAGCTCATCAGACTTGCAGGTTGCATGATGGTAAATGCAGTTGAACCCTCACACCATGAGGCACAAGTGGGAACCAGTATTTATGATAAAACAATGGCAATGCCAATGGTTATTTCAAATGAACTGTCACAAAGTTTATGAGAGGCATTTTATTAGGCTGTCCTACCTATTTCATTCACATAATTGTCAGAGCTTTTCATAAACTATAGGGAAGTTATGAGATATATTTCATAGGTCTTCCTACTGATTTCATTGTCAATTTCATATCCTTTCCATAGTGATTTCATTACCTTTTATTAAAACCCAAGGCTCTTTCATTATTAGTCTCTGGGGTCTTTCATTATGAACCTCACTGCTATTCCATTGCCACTTCAACAAAATTTCATTGCCATTTCAATAGAATTTCATTGGCAATTTCATTCAGATATCCAGTACTTTCATTGCACTTTCATTGAATATTTCATTGGGATGTCCAGGCTATTTCATTGCTATTTCAATAGAATTTCATTGGCAATTTCATTAGATATCCAGTGCTTTCATTATGGTGTCTAGACTATTTCATTATTCTCCCCCTGATTATTTCATTTCTGTATCAATGGAATCTCATTGGCTATTTCATTGGGTTGTCTGGGGTATTTCTTTTCATTGCCCTGGGTATTTCATTGCATTGTCCACTTTTTTAGACTACAAAAGTTTGTAGTATCTGCTTTTTTAGACTGCAAAAGTTTGTAGTGTCCACTTATTGAGACTACAATAGTTTGTAGTCTGCTGTTCTGATATGTAGATTGTAGTGTCCTTAACTATCTTAGGTTTATGGGGATATGGTTGAAGGAGATGACTAGATGTATGTATGGTCATTGCTACATCATTGGTTTTGACACCTTGCCCAAGTTGTCTTTTACATCAGTAGAAGCTGTCCTTTCTTTTTATATCAGCAACCACCATCCCATATCTGACTTCAGTTCCTTTTGTAGTCTAAAAAAGCAGACGCTACAACTTTGAAGTCATCTCACTCCTCTAACCATATCCCCATAAACCTAAGATAGTTAAGGACACTACAATCTACATGTTAGAAAAGTGGACTACAAACTTTTGTGGTCTAAAAAAGCAGACACTATAAACTTTTCTAGTAGATGGCCTGGACAAATTGTAGTCTGTCAATGAAATTTGCAATCGCTGTCCAACTTTTATAGTCTATCAGTAAACTTTGTAGTATATGTCCAATTTTTGTAGTTTTTTGTAGTAGTGTGTTTGTATACTTTGTAGTCTATCAGTGATCTTTGTAGTCTATTACTGTCAATATCCCTTTTAGGGCATGTAATTTCTCTTTTTGGTCATTTTTCCCATCATACAATAATTGTAGTCTCTTCTCTGACCTTTCTGAATGTGTTAAAATCATGTTATTTGGTGTTGTTTTTATAGAGAAAAAGGCAAAAACAACAACAACAACAAAAAGCCAGGGGTGAGACAAGTATTTTGTTTCATATCTCTACAATGGGGCAGGGACACACTCCAACTAATTGATGATGAGGACAAGCCAAATTCTGCTGGGTGTCCAGGTCAACATCTAATTCTTTGCTACTTTGGTTTCATTGTCCATAAGTTCAGACTCCAAAAGTCTTGCTCTCGAGATGAATAGCCACATCTTTGCCTGTGCCGCAAGATTATTTGGCACACTCTTACTGCTAGATTGCCAGTTCTACAACAGTCCTTTCGCTACAATTATCTATTGCACAAAACACCAACTCAGGCATTGAGTGTATGGTGTTTTGCATGTGAGATTGGAATCCAAATCTCATGAAAACTTGTTTGTTCTTGTGGTCTGTGGCTGATGGGAGTCAACATTTAACCAAAGTTCAAAGTTCAATGCTGTGACATCAAGGAAGGCAATGTCACACATCACAAGAATGAACAAGTTTTTATGAGATTTGCATTCCAATCTCACATGCAAAACACTGTACTATGTTTGTTCATGATATTGAAACTTGTTGGGATATTGAAACTGCAGATTATCTTGACCTCCACTTGCCTTAGAATCTTGAAATTTTCACAGAATATGTATTTATGCATGATATTCATTCTCTCAAAATTTCAGAGAGACATTCAAAGATTTGTGTTCTGGAGACACTACTTTGTGTTTTTCATTACAATTAGGCAAACAAAAGTATGGAATGTTCTCTCAGATCCCTCTGGATCAGTTGGACTGTTAATTCTAAAACTTTCCAGTAACATTTAAATGATATGTAATAGTTTAAATTTAAATTTCTAGAGTGATAGATGAAGTCCCATTGGGAGGAAGGGCAAAATACCAGATGTTGCTTGCAAAAGCATGATATTTGCCTGCCAAACTGTCATCACCTCTCAGCCAGAAGCATGGTGACTTAGCATGACAACAGTTTCAATATCCTGATATTTTTGAACCCTGAGCACCAGAATGCCTCCAACAGCAAACACAACATATCTACAGTAGAAAAATGTAGATATTCATGTAGAAAACAAAAAAGTACAATGAATTGTCAAAAAGTCCAAAGGAGTTGACAAAGTGGTGAGCCAAAAATCATGCAACACTGAAAAAGTTTCAATATCATGAACATAGTAAATGAAAAAAAAAACTGAATGGTAGCTGTGTTACCAATTACACCAGCTCATTGTTGTAGGTAGGAATCATTGGTTGATCTGGTGGCCATTTGAAATGGGTGGGTTGATCCATAAAAAGACTGTATTACGACGAACCTGGGACTCGAACCCAGAAATCTCCAGCTTGGTGTCAAGTGTAAACACCGGAAACTGGCGCGTTAACCATTACGCCAGTCCGCCTGTCGCAGACATTTATTTATAAGTGATTATCCATACGATCTTGCTTTATATTGAGTTCGAATAGGTGACGAGGCATAAAAAAACAAACACTCGTTGAGCTTTGACAGTTGAATGCTGGACGTTGAATGTCGGACTTTGGTGACGCCGACAGCCGTCAGCACCCGTCTTGCGTATCACACAACCTCGGCATTTCGAAGGGTCATGGTGAGGACGGAACGACCTTCTGCCCTGCCAGACTTTGCGTAAGGACTGAAAAAGGTAGCTGAACGCTTTCGTCTGGCCTGATATAAGCGACACCAGCAGCGGAAACACGACGGAAGGCAATAAGCCAAGAATTTGAATGGTCGGTCTTCATTGGGCTTTCTCCAATTCATATTCAACCCATTATCTCATTCCTTGATCTGCCAGCATGGACGAAACATTCTAATTCACATCTACTGATGAAGATGATGATTTTACAAGGCTACAGCAACGAACACGGCGTCTAGTGAAGAGACTCCTTGGCGAGCTGTGCTGCGTATGGGTTACGGGGGTCGGTACGCCATTCGGGTGCTAAACGTGATAGGAGGGAAGGGAGGAAAGAGGAGGGTGAGCAGGGAAGGAGAGGTGGCATGAACGACGTGGACGTACACCTGATACCGGAATCCTGAGCCTTTCCAACAAGATAGGCGGTAATCGAGCCCGCAATCAGGAATGGCCACAAGGGCTTGACGATCTATAAACCAAGTAAGCTGGGTCAGAAAGTAGTGGTTGGTGTTGGGTCAAAAGAAAAAAACGTGCAGGTGTAGGCCATTTACGCAACCCGAGGAATGCCATTGTATCTAGCTTATTATCTGCTCAAATCAGACTTGTGCTCGTCGAAAGTCAAGAGGGAACGTACGAGGGAAATTGGTTCGTCGGTGGTGGTTGTGGAGGTCGGGCGAGACCGTTTGGGTTGATGAGCTGGAGGGAAAGGGTGGGAATTACGACCAAATTGGGTAACCTGCCCTTCGTCATTCGACACGTTGCGCAAGGCTCTTGGTCAACGACCAGCTACTCGTCTTACTTGGCTCTTCAGGCTTGGAGGGCTCTGACACCTGGGTTTTCTGTCTCTGCGCCGTAACTACTCAGGCGCGATCGCAAAAGACGTTGCAGAAGAACCTCATCGCACCACCTTTGCCTTGGAACTAATAGGCCCACTTGAGCCCAATTGTCGGTTCTCAAATTCCTTGCCTACTAACGGGACTCTGGGAATTCAGAAGTTTCTACGCATCCTTCTATAATTGCTCCTCTACTGCGCATTTCAACGAAGAATCCATCGCCAAGTTCGCCTTGCTCAACAGTCAACGGTCAATGGCTCAAAATCTTGCAACATTAGCAGCCAGTACGTCTACAGGGGTGGCCAGTGCCAGTGCAGCACCAGCTGTAAGCGCCTCCTTCCTCCTATATCCACGGTTGACACTATTCAGTGGTTACTGCCGTTGCTGGAATTCGCCTGCCTCAACTCTATTCATTTCAATGGTGTTACGGACAGAATAAACAGCATGCTAATATCAACCTTTTCTCTCTCTAGTGGCGCCAATTCTCCTTCTTCGATGTCGTTCCCGTGAAGGACGTACACGATCTCGACAGCCCTCCCTACATCTTCAAAGTACGTGCTTCCTCGAGCCTCCGGATAACAACGCTCAACAATTCACATCACAGGCAGCCACAGAAATATCCACAGTCGCTTCGTCAGGGTTAGGTGTGCTCGTCGCAGACATTCACGGGAGCATACACCTCCTCAACAGGGACTTTGAATCGACAAATAGCTGGGTAGCTCATGTCAGTGGAAGAGTAACACATATGGTGGAACGACAAGGCGTTCTAGTGACTCTTGGTGTACGTCCCATCTCACTCAGTCTACATATAAATTCACTTCGTCTGACGGCCTATGCTTAGGAAGAAGATAACGTCAAATCACCACTCCTCAAGATCTGGGATATGCAGAACACAGACAAGAAAACGGGTTCTCCCCACCTCCTCCGCTCAACAAAAGTTCAGCTGAGCAATCGTCCTCACCCCGTAAGCCTTCTCTCTCCCCCTCATCTCATACACCGCAGCAACTGACCGGACTAGGTAACAACCATAGCCCTCTCCGCCTCCCTCTCCCACCTCGCCATCGGCCTCGGAGACGGCACCGTCCTCCTCTACCGCCACCTCGACCAATCCCTCGCATCATCCACATCCCTCACCTCCCTCCCCAAACCACGCACAGTGCACGAATCGCCCACAGAACCTATAACAGGGCTTGGGTTCAGAGAACCCACGGAAGATATCGTAAACGCGTATTTGTTCGTGGTTACCACGAATAGGGTGTTATCGTACCAGGCTTCGGGGAGGGGGAGCGGGGGGAGCGCGACGGTTGTGGATGAAGTTGGGTCTGGGCTTGGATGTGCGACTATGGATTGGAGGAAGAGGGATATTGTGGTTGCGAGGGATGAGGCGATTTATATTTGTGGGATTGATGGGAGGGGGGCTTGTTATGCTTATGAAGGTCAGTTCTCTCTTTGCTTCCCATCGCCTTTCCTCTTATATTATGGCAGGCCACAAATCATCCGTGCACACGCACCAGAACTACCTCGTCATCGTATCGCCGCCTTTCTTCCCCACTGCTACGGCGGCCTCTGCGACGGTAAGGAACTTTGTTGCAAGATCTGCAAACCCAGGCGAGACGGACATTACGAAAGTCAATGTATTCGATCTGGAGAACAAGCTTGTGGCGTACAGTGGTACGTTCAAGCAGGGTGTGAAGGAGGTTATATCGCAGTGGGGCGAGATATATGTGTTGGCTACTGATGGCACTGTGAGTTTTCTTCCCGTGTTTTCTTTCTGTTGAAGAAGGCTGATTGATTTGTCTAGTTGACGTGTCTGGAAGAAAAATCAACAGCGGATAAACTCGACATGCTTTACCGAAAGTCTCTATACCTCCTAGCACTAAACATGGCCAAGACGCAGAATTTGGACGTGGCGAGTGTTTCTGATATACACAAACAGTATGGGGATCATCTGTATGGGAAGGGAGACTATGACGGGGCAATGCAGCAGTTCGTTCAGACGATTGGGCACTTACAGCCCAGTTACGTTATTCGCAAGGTCCGTTCCTCTTTCTACCTATCAACTTTTCTTATAGCTAACTTTTCTGATAACCAGTTCCTCGACGCACAAAGGATTCACAACCTCGTAACCTATCTGCAAGAACTCCACTCCCTAGGCCTCGCAAACTCAGACCACACCACCCTCCTCCTAAACACATACACCAAACTCAAGGACGTATCTCGACTAGACACGTTTATCAAGACTGAGTCTAGGCGGGGAGACGACTCGGATGAGCTCCCGTTTGATTTGGAGACGGCTATTAGGGTGTGTAGGCAGGCAGGGTACTTTGAGCACGCTGGGTACCTTGCGAAGAAGTATCAGAGGCATGAGGATTACTTGAGGATACAGATTGAGGATGCGGGGAATTATAAGGATGCTTTGGTTTATTTGAGGAAGTTGGGATCTGAGGCGGTTAGTGTCTTTTTTCTTTCATTCTTTTTGTTGACTTTGTTGATGATGGTACGGACTGTAGGCGGAAAGTAATCTGGCACGATATGGACGCGCGATGCTTAATAGTCTTCCGGAGGAAACGACTCAGCTGCTTATTGACCTGTGCACGAGTACAGGTCCACTCATCTCCGAACCAGAGGAGATCACGCCAAAGTCCCCTGCGGCAGCAGCTGCACCCTCCGGTCCATCCTACCTCTCCTACCTCGCCTTGAACCGGAATTCAGTAGTCGCACCGACAAATATAGAAACAGCCACTGTCACGCCCCCTTCTCCGTCTATCAAAACCGTCAAACCCGATTCTACGTCAAGAAGAGGGTCAGTACTTGGAGGCGTCTCCATCTCAGGAACCATAACCCCTCCTCCAACCACAACCGACAACATCCCCCCCTCAAAATCCAACACCCCCTTTGCTCCACCACCCAAATCTCCCTCTCCCACACCGCACCACCGCCTCTCACCCAAACTCTACTTTCCACACTTTGTAGACAACGTCGACCAATTTCTTGTCTTCCTCGAAACGGTGGCTGTTAGACGATGGAACCAATCTGTGGATCCTACGCCGCCTACTCCTGGGATGGTGGGTGTGTTGGGGGGTGTTGAGCCGCCTGATGCGAGTGATGAGGTGGGTGTTGAGATGGATAGAAGGGATCAGGTTGCTGTTTGGAATACGCTTTTGGAGCTGTATTTGACGTTGCCTTTGCCAGGAGGTGCGAGGAAGGAGGTGGAAGGGGAGAAGGGAGCAAAGTTTGACGAAAAAGCGATGAGGGAAAAGGCGATGCGTGTGCTGAGGAGTGGGAAGATCCCTTATGAGCCGATGCACGCTCTTATCCTGTGTTCCACGCATTCGTTCACGGATGGGCTTGTGCTGTTGTATGAGAAGATGGGGATGTATGAGGATGTGTTGAGGTTTTGGATGGACAAGCATAATCAAGCGTCATCCCCTGGAGCTTCTGCGAAAGTGGTGGAACATCTCATGCATTATGGGAACCAGCATCCGCATTTGTATCCGTTGGTATTGAGGTTCTTGACGTCTACACCGGAGTTGTTGAGGGAGCATCAGGAGGATGTGAGGGGGATATTGGAGTATATTGATCAGGAGGAGATGATGTCGCCGTTGAGTGTCGTGCAGGTTCTCAGTAGGAATGGGGTGGCGAGTGTGGGTCTTGTGAAGGAGTGGTTGGTTGGGAGGATTAAGGAGGCTAGAGGGATTATTCAGAGTGTGAGTGTTTTTTTTTCTGGTTTGGGTTTTGTGCTGATGATGATGGGACGTTGTAGGATCAAGAACTGATAACTTCGTATCGGACGGAGACGACGACGAAGTTGAAGCAGGTCGAGGCGCTCTCTGATCCTGACAACGCGCACGTTTTCCACGTTACGCGGTGTTCGGCGTGTCATGCCCAACTTGACCTGCCTAGTGTGCATTTCATGTGTGATCACAGCTATCACCAGCGGTGCGTCCTTCCTTTTCTACGACCCACTCACGCTAAATAAACAACGCGGTTGTGATTTATAGATGCATAGCGGAACATGAAACGGAGTGCCCGAACTGTGCGCAGGAACATGGGGTTATTCGGGAGATAAGGAGGAACAATGAGAGGCTTGCGGACCAGCATGATGTGTTTTTGTCGGAGGTTAAGGAGGGTGGGTTCGAGGCTGTTGCGGGGGCTTTTGGGAGGGGATTGATGAATATGGGGAGGGTGGAGGAGGTTGTGTAGATTAGGTGCTTCAGTGTTCTTTTTTCGAGACAGGACTCCAGTCTCTGAACGGAGAGTTACCTATTTTAAAGACGACACAGCCACTGCTTTCTTCTTTATCTTCCGTAACGATCTTGAGTTTACAAATAAATGTCATTGCACCAGAAATTTCGAAGATGCAAGGTACATTACGTCCAAAGGTGCCTTTAAAGAATTCAATTGACCCTTTTTCTTCAGTACTTCAAGAGCGACGGAACTCCAATCGATATCGGATGTCCACGTCGTGCCAGCCTCTGCAAGTTTGCGCATCCATCTGACCCCGACTGGGATAGACTCAAAGTCCCAGATTCGGCCGGGTGGAAGGAGGAACAGCGTAGCTCGTCTTTTTACCGCGACCGGGACAGAGGGAGACGAAGGTCCCCATCCCCACCACCCTCACATCGTGCACGGGAACGGGAAAGGGAAAGGGAACGGGGACGACGGGATAGCGTTGCGTCGACGAGTCATAGCGATACTCGATCTCTCTCTCACGATAGACGAGGCACCACCACCACGATGAATGTCGATCGACACCTCTTTCTGGAATCCGAGCAAGATATAAAGCCAATCATATCAAAATCGGGTTCTGTCATGGATTCTCATTCTGCAATACAAAGACCTGTGTTAAGGCCCATTGTGACGACGGCTCCCGCCAACCCTGAGCATCCTTCTTCTTCAAGTACTACTGCGGTGCACTCTGCGACTTACGTCCCAAACACCCCTTCCTCGTCCAATATCCCAACTGCTATGCCCCCGCCGGACGACGCACCTGTTCCACCGCCACCACCACTCCCTGTTCTTCCAGAGTTGACCACGATGGTAGAATCACCAGAGCCTTTAGACGCTGAATCTCAAGCGAAAGTCGACGTTTGGGAGACCAGAATAAAGTGAGCCTTCTTCCTCTTCTTCATGGCTCGCCACTCAACCAACAACACAAAAAAGACGTCTAGTAGACTCGGCCCTAGCCCAAGAATCCGTCCTCCAAGCCGACGAAAACCTCTCACAAGCACTCTCAATAACCCAATCAACCTACTTCCCCTCCCTCGCCCCCGACGTCCAACTCCGCGCGCAAGCCGAGATCACGGACCTCCAATCTCGCAGGGACGACCTGCAAAAAGCCGTCGATGCCTCGATCGAAAAGTTGGTAGGGAGTGATTGTTGGCCTCCTTTAGATCGTCATGACGATAAAGACAAAGACAAAGAGGAGAGGGATAAAGCGGGGTACGATGAAGTGAAGAAATACGTTGAGGAGTTGAAGAGCATTACAGCGGAGATGAGTAGAGTGTTGGGTGACATGTCCGGGTTGGGGTTGAAGCCTCCCCCCATGACGGTCCTACACGATGCGGAACGCGACCAGCGGGAGTTTGGGTTTGGTTTTGGTGGTGTGCCTATGGATGTCGATGACGCGCCGCCGCCCCCTATTCGTGTTGGTGTGCCGAACCATGAAGAGTTGGAGTATGTGCTTGATCGCGTTGTGGATCTTGAAGAGACGCTTTCGAATATCCGGAATGACCTTGATGCGCGGTATGATGAGTTTGAAGAGAGGATGGAGGAGTTTCGTGGTGCTGTTGAGGAGGCGGTGGAAGGTGTTGGTGGTGGTGAGGAGGAAGAGGAGAAAGACGAACCTGCTGCTCAGGAGAATCCCAATGCGGAGGACGGTGAAGTCGACGGTAACGATACTAGGACGACCACGAAGCGGATCCGAGCGGACCTTGACAAGCTTATTGAGGATAATGATATTGCGGGGAAGGATATTGGCGAATTGTCGGGGTATATTACTGAGCAGATCCAGCAGGAGAGTGCGTTGACTGTGCAGCTTGCGCAGGCGAAGGTGGATGGTGAGAGGAGTTTGGAGAGGTTTGAGGTGGTGAGTTGTTTTGAGGTTTTCTTTCGTTTCAACGGGACGTTTTGAGTTTCTCTTCAACGACCATTTTGGAGTTTCTCTCAAACGACCGTTTGGAGTTTTTCTCCAACGACCGCTCTGATCTTCTTTTCAATGACTGTTTGAAGTTTCTCTTCAACGACCGTTTTCCTTTTGTTTCCACTCATTCAGAGTTTGGTACTGATTTTTCAATTCGATATATCCACCAGTTCCAAAGACAATTCACCACATACACACAAGCCCGCGAAAAAGACACACAAACCCTACGCGTACTAGAAGCAGCCATGAAAGCATACACAAACTCAACCACCGTTCCCCCATCTCCACCTCTATCTCCTACCCCCACCTCCTTATCCTTACCCTCTTCCTCTTCCTCCCTCTTCTCCACCTCATCCCCGTCGTTAACATCAGAATACCTCGTTCAAGCACTGCAAGACCCACTAACAGACGTCCTACGCGCAACGGTCAAGCCTTTGATACAAGAGTTTAGGGATAGCGTCGAGGTGCTGCTTAAAGACCAGAATGCGGAGATGTATGGGACGATTTGGGAGAGGATGAAGGGGGCGTTGATTTTGCTTAGGACGATTTCTGATAAGTTGGAGGTTACGGGGCAGCAGCAGGGGGTTGCAATTGTTGGACAGGGATTGGGGCAGGGATTGGGACAGGGACAGGGACAGGGGATGGTGGGTGTTGTGTAACAAACAGTAGGAAGGTCGTTTTTGTTTTTGTTTTTGAGGGGCTTCTAATACCAGCTTGTTACACTCGTTCAGTTGTTAGATAATATGTTGTACATAGTACTGTCCATAGACTTCTTATTTTACGACGGAGGCAAGCATGTTGTGATTCCAACGCGTTGATACCGTTCTTCGTTTAGAAACTGCAATTCAGGATTTCTCCTGGATACTCAGTGGAAATGATCGAACAAAGTTCACAGTGATTGTCGAGGCATTTGATCTCAGAGTGGCAAGTCAGTTGTTGCGGTACAACCGTTCAGTTCAACCCAGAATCACTGTTCGATATATGGTTGGTCATTTCAAGGACTCTACGTATGACATATTTCTACTTGTCGTTCAGCCTGAAGGAATTGTCATTAGTGACGAAGTTGAGAAGGGAGATAATAGAAAGAACGGACCACGTAGCAACCACGTAGCCACCTTGGATTTAGTTGGCATAGGCGCAGTGTCGTGTGTCATGGAGGTATTAGCGCCACGCACCCACACCCCCTTGTATGTTTGCAGTTCTTGACCTTCACTTGGTCGTGGCAACTGAAGAGGCCCACGCCAGTGCAACCGCAATTCGCCCATAGATGACAAGGATCTGGCATGGGGTGGTGCCAGATGGTGCACCCAGAGACATCATATCTGGTCAACCAAGCACGGCGAACATGGCTGGAATCGAGGTCTTCACGATCGTAAAAGTTATGAGCAGGAGCTCCGATGATGGCGAAGGGGAGGATGAACATGGCAGCGAAGAGGTCAGCAGTGAGCTTGACTTGGACCATGATCCGAATATCGTGTGGGGATAACTAATAGCCTGAGAGAGAGAGAAAAGTTGGAGAATTGTGTTGCTTGGTATATCTAGTGACCAGCACTAGATATGAATGTTCAGCGCAGCACCTCAGGCCTGACGCTTCTGACTCCTGAGTGACAGAAGGCCTCAGAGGCCAATTCTTTGGCTGGTAGGAATTGGCCTCTGGGGGTCATTCCCCAAGAGGTGTCAGATCGGTGGATCTTGGACGTGTGATCTTGCCACGCGAGCTTGACAACGGTGATTTCCGATGGTCGGCATGTCAGCGGCAGGAGGAATGGGATCAATGGGATCATCAAGGGATCACAAGCAGCTGCTCGGCTGCTCCAGCTGAAGTGTAGGCGACAATATTGTATATTAGATGTAATTGAGACCAATTACTGGTAAGAATGATAGGCAAGTTAGGTATTGACAACGGTGTGTTAGTAGAGAATGGTATCAATGAAAAACATCATTGTTATAGGACATTTGAGTTGAAGAAGAGCGTCTTTTATGACGCAGTGATAGTGAGAAAGGTAACGGAGATGTGTTTACAGAGATACAACAGGAAGAAAGAAACGTACCAGCGAAGTCCACTCTACATGGTTTACCACTTTGATGTTTAAGAAAAGATTTGAAAGTATTATTATGCCCGAGTTTGATATATTTGTTACATCTGGGGCAAAGAACTTGACGAGTATTGAAGCTTAGAAGCGTTGCCTTGCTCGAGTAGGGGTAAGTTTTCCTTGTCGAAAAAGGCGATCAAATTATGGGGGATGTTTGAAGGATTGATATGAACATTTGTAGGTAAAGGTAAATGGGGTGATACAATATATACAGTATTGATGTGCCATGGCTGAGAGGATATGTCAATGAGGGCCTGTCTCAAGGAGCGACGCGTGCTAGGTGTTGCAAAGAATGTGTAAAGGGAGTGATTGATTGTGTGATTCCTGCCTTACCCTCATGCCGAGTCATGCCGTCCTTCCTTATTTGGGGGGGGGTCCCCTACCCTCCCCCCACGTCCGAGATCGGCAGATCTGACGCCTCTTGTCATTCCCGCTCTATCACTATGCGTCAAATCCAAATTGATGCAGTGATCGCTTCCTTTGATGTCTAAAAATAGTCTGATCATCAAAGTGACAGACCGCAAGCGGCGCGACAAGCGGCCGCGGCGCTCGTCGCCTGTTTCCCAGCTCCAGTAGCTATGCCTCCTGCTCGATTTGTAGGCTTTCATTTGGAAAACTTCAGTATCTTTGCCAATAATAAATACATACCTGCAATGGAACAAAATCTTGAGGTTTAATAGTGATGGTTTATTCACGATTCCAATACTATACCCCCCTTCTTAGTTAATCTCTAAAATCAAAAACATTGGTTGCCAGTATTCTAGGGTTTCATGAGAATTTTATAACAGGTCATAGGGAGAGGCCACGCCTTGGCAACGGGTGCACCTCCTGCAAGAACACCTTGCACGTGCGTTACATGTCCAGAATTTTCTCATATAATTTAAACCTCCCATCATGGGTAGACCTTGGACCCACACCTACTTCATTCCCTTCCTTGCATACCTGTTATTTTTTCAATTCAATATATGAAGTTAACAGGAAAACAACAAGAATGATGGCCGCTGACAGTCGTCTGTTAAAAAAAGAGAGGTATTTCATTTGTTTTCAGTGCTTTGCCATCACCGTCGACAGGATATCACCAAAATTTTATCTGTAAAAATAGGGTGACACCTTGAAGCATGTTAAATATAAGAGTAATCATCCCAAATGTGGTGCGAAGTTGCAGACGCGAGGCTTTGTTGAGTAACAATGTCTTCATGCAATCACAAACCACATGGGCAGGAACAGGAATTTGTTTGTAAAATAAAAGTCAAGTTGTGCTATATGGCTATGAAACCCTATGACGATGTCCTTTGTATTCGAAAACGATTTCTCAGATTGGAATCAGATGATGAGCTCAAAGATTCTTATGTTTCATTACTATACTCCTATTCCAATTGTCTTCAGCTAACCAGCCCAGATGGGGGTTGTTTTTGGGCAGGAAGCTGTTATCTGCAAGGGAACTTGAACTTTGAAGGTTCAAGGGTAGTCTCTTGAAGCCAGCATCAGTAGAAAGAATTTTGTTGTCCTGCTACAAAAGGTGCAGTGAAATTCTCTTATTCACAGGTTATTTAGCCCAGTTTCATTGGGAAAAATGTGAAGGCTGGTCCTTGATTAGCTGAAAGTGTAAAGAATTGATCTATGGTGTTATTTCTGAGGTGGTGCAGGGGAGTGAGCCTCAACTTACATTTTTGTGGAGTAAAGGTCAGACCACATCAGAGGTTGGCAAACAATATCGCCTTAAGAACCGTAAACACAGTTCTGGCCTACGAAAGCTGCACATTTGTGAATTTCATCCCAGGTGCAATTCAACTTGACCCAGACCTTAATTATACTGCACATGAGCAAAATGCCATGAGTATCTGTGAGTGCCAAGGTTGTCTGTTTTCCATCCTGAAGTTTCCACTGTGTACTCTCCATGAATCTTGTCCTAATTTTTGTTGAATTGAACAGACACATGCCGATGTATTCTGGAGAGTTTTTCGGTGACATTCACTTATAATTTACTCTACGTACAAGTACAGTTTGGCCAAGTATGAAACCTGATCCAAGTCGTATGATACATTCCTCAATGAGTGTGTTGTGACATACAAAACATTTCAACATATATACTTTGACACCGGGAATGAAGTGCCAACATTCAAGAGAGCCTGTGGTCGGAATTACACCCAGTGAGCCCCACAAGAACCCAGTCACTATGCAATGAAGGGAGCAAAGTGTGTGCGTCAATCTTGTGTGATGCTGACGTTTGTGTGAGAACATTGTGACAGAGAGACAGATGGATGGATGTGTCGTTCGATGTCAAGTCTTGCATTGATTGACCTGTGATCAGTAGTAGGGTGGCCGATGACTGCTCGACAAAGAGAAACAGGTGATGAAAAGTGGGGGCACGGATTTCTTGCATGTCAGCTTCTTGAGTGTTTTAGACACAGTATCATGAGCAAGGGGTAGCAAGACTGACCTCTCCAATTGACTAAGTATAGGATGACCAATGTGTGTTGACCCTATCCAGACAGACAGTGGTCGCCCACAAGAATGGGTGATATCGGCACAGGCCTACCCAGAGTTGTTACAGCCCAGTTCACGATACCCATTGCACCGCCTCACAAGTCTTCACTGTCATTTCAAATGCCTCAGAGCAACACACATCATGTGAAACCGGGCGGTTGTTCTTGACTTCTTGACGAAGGCGTAGATGAGAGACGGTTGCGGAGAAGAGACGAGGTATGTGTGATAATGCACGTGGCGTGGATACGGATATCGTAGCCGCACCTTCGTGATCCAGTGACCCAGGACGAGGGACACAGTCACCCAGCGCAGGGCTCTGATATCCTGGAGGGGAGGTGTGAGGCTGCCTAGCCGTAAACGATATGAGTGACCCGCTCCACATCTAAGTTTAAGGTGGAAGTTGCAAGTGGTTTATTTGGCTACTGTAACACATTATAACAAGATACAAAATATATGTAAATACGGTGGTCCCATGTCACGCAAGATAAGGAAGGTAACTACCACGTTATCACAAAGCCCCCCCGTGAAATTGGAGCATCGTCCATGATGAGAGAGTCCTCTTACCGACGGCGTCGCCGACGTTTCCGCTCTTCGCGTTCCTCATCGCGCTTTCGGTACCCTTGAATCTTCTGACCGCTACGCCGCCCCCTCTTCGTTCGCTTGTAATCTTCTTCCCCGTCATCTCCCTGATCGGTAGGATCTTCATCCATGGGTGCTTGATGATAAGACGAACTTCCTGAGGCTGTTGCTGGATGTAGCGATTCAGTACTGAAGTCAGCTAGCGCAGCTGAGCCAAGGTAGGGAGAGTGGTCAACCACCATGGGGTCCGCGGTTTCGAGACGATCAGCGAGCGTCAGCCAACCTGGAGCAGTCAACCTCGCAGCTAGTGCAGCTGGGGGGGCTGGATCAGTCAACCTTGCTGATAGCTGGTCTGTCATTCGAGACATGAGGGTTGGTCGTGCGGGAGTTGGAGGCGGGGAATCGGACCGTAGCTCGACCATAGCTGATATTCTTGAAGCTAGCGACGCAGTAGACGAGCCTCTCGAAGTATCCAACGAAGACGGCGGCACGTTCAAGGTAGGCAATGCTGCGGCTACTGGCCAAGGCAGCAGGGCACTTGGAGTTGGTCCGGTAGGTGCCATTGGATAAGGCAGCACAGTCGTATTTCCTTGCAGAAGGACGGGGCTAAAGGTATTACCGGAGGGGGACCACATAAAAGCAACATTCGCGCCGAAAGGCAGCGGGGCGTTGTGTGGTAGTCCAGCAAAAGCTGGCATGCCTGGAAGTACTGGCAGAGGGGGAATGTGGATCATTGCATCAGCATTGGAGTTCCGGAGGGTTAAAGGACTAGCGTTCTCCTGCTCCCTTGAAGGTCGCGTAGCTAGCTCCCCAGGAGGTCGATATGATCGAGGTCCAGGCGACCTGGAACGACGATATGGAGAACGAGCACGACGACGAGGCGATGGGGATCGTTGATACCTTCTACGATAGGTGGAATGGGAAGGGGATTGTCGCCGAGGGAGGGGTGAAAGCCTTCTGTTAACTCTGTAGCGTTCCATCGAAGGAGATCGACGACGATTGTCATGCGTTTGCCGACGTTCCCCACTGCTCCATCTTCGAGAAGAAGAGCTCACTGCCGGAGCCACCGATTGGAGCGAGGATGGACCTTGACTTCCATTGTTGGAGAGAGTGTCCGGCCATCTATGGGAAGCACGGGTGAGAGCTCCCACGTAGTCTTCATAATCAGCGTAGGCGACTCGTAATTCTATCCCATTCTCTTGCCTATGATGCATATGAGTCCTCATTTGGCGAGCTTGCTCCATGGATTCCATCTCGAACCAAAAACTTTGATTTCAGTCGGTGCTAACTCGGAATATTTGCCTGACTGTCAAGCGAAGGCGTGTCGTGATTGACATTATCATGTCCTGGATAACGGGAAACTCTTCCGATGTGGGTATTCCATAAAGCATGAAAGAAGAGGCAAACTCTAAGGGATCCGCTGGAGTGACGGCTTCCGTATTGATTTCTGAATCCACCATAAAGGAGAGAGGAGGGATCTGTAGACCCATAACATCGTGGTTATGCTCGTCGTCTCCCCACGAAATCTCATCATCCTCCTGCATATGATTCGTCTTAGGGAGAGATAGGTTTGGATCAATGGAAGCAGGCTCGGTGGTGGCTTCCCCCACTCCTGAAGTCGCTCCTATGGCAGCGGGCTGTATCTCGATAGCTTGCACAGTGGGTTCAATCCCCGTGATTTGAGCAGCGGGCGTGGTAGTCACGCTCACAGATGATACATCAGCGTTGATTATCACGTTCAACACCGGAGGGGCTTGATCACCCTCGTCTGGATAGTAATCGTTGTCGCTGTCGCTGTCATCATTGGGCGGGGGATTGGGCTGAGAGGGTTTCCTCAAGGGCGGCAATTCTTCCGGTCTTGGGACAGGCGCTTTTCTGCCGACATCCGTTGGTTGGGGCTCCATGGTTTGATAAATCCAGCGAGGTTGCACAAATTGCTTTTTGTTAATGCCCTTGTAGACTCCTTTCGGGCAGGGCTGGCCAAAAATGCTCGGGTCAGACACGCAACCTTCTGGTATCTTAGGTGGTCGAAGGAAGAATAGATGCCAGCGTTTCTCTCGATCATACATGGAATGCGTCCGGTGGACAGGAGCATTCTTCGCACCGACTTCCTTGAAGGATCCTTTGGGGTCGTAATTCTCCACAAACTTAATCCATCTTTTGCGTTCATGAGCAGGAGCGTTAGCTCGACTTGCGGCTGCTTTCTTGACTGGGGGAGGCTTGATCCACGGTACTCGATCACTTGCGATAGAGATGGTCTCCAAGGGAGGGGGTCCATAGTCAACCACAGACTTATCTGCAGACTTCGTATCAGGAGATCTGGATTCATCTCGCCTATTGACTACAGCTTGTGGCCATACCCACCCTGGGTCATGGATCATAGCGGTGTCCGATAGGGACAAATCTCCTCGAGATATAGCCATTGAATCATAGTCGTTTATGGTCCAGTGGATGGATGATGTGCTAGTCCCTGCAGCAAAGTCTATCACGGTCTCTCGTGCAGCGAGTAGAACGCGCTCAAGAGACGTGACTTCCCTTACTACAAAACACGGGATGCCTTCCTTTAGATACCATCGCGCTTGTCGTTCTTCTGCTCCATTTAACCACACACCCAGGTAGCAGTCGTCGGCCATCGCGACTTCAGCATCAGCGTCCGGCATCCAGAACGGGGTAGCTTGTAGTCTGGAGACGTAATCTACGAAGGTGCGCTTATCCTTCAACCCTCGCTGGGCTTCAGCGATCCAATCGACGGCGAGCGGAAATCATCTGATTTGCCTTAACGAGTCGATGTCTTCTGAAGTGGGAATGGCCGGTCGGATGGCGGCGCTCCACAACGCTCTGTGAGAGGGTTCCAGGAAGTGATGTTTGACGTATTCCTTGTGCAAGACTTCCATTCTCCAGCCGACTTCCTGATTCTGTAGAATGAGCTTGTCGATGTAACTGTTGTGAATACGTCCCGTATCGAAGGCAGGGGCAGCATCACTCTTCCAACAATTAGTCGCCACTTCATACTCGGGGTATTTGCGCGGATTTCCCGCCGCGGGTCCCATGATTAAGGCTCTCCACTCTTTGCCTGGGAGCCAAAGCTGAGCATTCCTCGTGGGGTCAAAGGGCCCCATGTGGCCATCATAGCGTCGATGTTGTTCCTCGAAGAAACGGACTCGAAGGTTTAGATTTGCAGGTCGGATACCAGGACAGAAGGTGTTTTGCAGGGAATTGGGTGATGTTATCTCCCACATACGACCTTGGTTGGCGACGTATCTCCGGTAAACAGATGCAGGCAAATCATATGTCGGAGGAGGAGGAAGGTGAGGGATCTGATCGTAACCAGCGAAACTTGGATTCCGTCGAGGAAAGTAGCGTCTTGTGTCATTACCATCCGCTCCTTTGACGTGGCCCAGTCGTCCAGCCATGAATAGCGGACTTGTGGGTAATCGCGCTCGAAAGCAGCGGGACACCATGTTCGAAGTTCTGTTGAAGTTAAATGAAAAGAGAATTGAAGTTGATGTATACATGGAATAATCGGAGTTTCGGAGTTTAAATAGTTCTGTACAGTATTACTAACGATCCTTGAGCGAGTCAGGGTTCAATATATATATAGCGCAGGGATAGCTTGAAGTAATCATATAGTTAAGCCTTTGGAATCCAGATAGCTTCTCTTGAGTTGAGCAGAGTTTCGTAAGTCATATTCCGAGACCCAGGAGTCATCAGCGGGCCCATAGCCCTTCCATCTGACTAGGAACATCCGGCGGTTTGCTTTCTTCTTGCCTACAAAGCGATGTCCCAGGATAGATTCCACTTTGTACTCCTCAGTTGGTCATAAGTCTCACATTGAAGGCAATTCCGTATGTTCTCCGAATCGATCCGGTGAGAGTTCGTATTTCTTCAAATGCTGTAAGTTGAACACGGGGTGCATCGAATAAGTGTCCGGTAGGCGTAACTGATAAACCATGGGATTGATTCTTTCGACCACTTCTAGTGTTTGAAAGTCCGGTTCGGTCCGGTTTTTTGATGCCCAGGGGCGTTAACCGTAACCGTAACCGGTCTGCCTTTTCCCCAGAAGTCAAAAGACCAGACCGGACCGCAAAAAGACCGCAGACCGCGGTTTTTTGCGGTCTATAGACCGGTTTCGGTCTGCATCAATTTTAACCGGTTTATGACCGGTCTTTAGGCTAATATTTTAAAATTATGAATCGGTAAATTTATTAACATCTCTAATAGCTTCAAAACGAGCCCAAGAACGTTAAATTCCGTTGGGAATTAGTGCTTCTATAAAATAAGTCTGGTACATCTATTATTCCCAAAAGTAATTTACATTTTAATTCATATCTCTCTCGTTTTTTTACCAAATCGTACGTTCTTGGGTGCGTTTTAAAGGGTATTTAAGGGGCTACAAAAGACCGGTCCAAACCGGTCAAGACCGGTTCACGTTAACCGGTTTTTTTGCGGTCTTTACATTTCAAAAATAAAAGACCGTAACCGCAGGTCCGGTCTTTTGCGGTCTTGGTCCGGTCTGGTTACGGTCTTTTTCCAGTCACGAGACTGGACTTCCAAACACTAACCACTTCGAAGGGCCCAATCATCCGCTGTATGAGTTTCTTGCCGGTCCCTTCAACGTCTACCAATTCAAGGGAATGTGGATTAACCAGAGCGTAGTCTCCAACCTTCAGTTCTTGAACTGGTCGCCTTTTCTTATCATAGGCTTTCGCTTGTCGGTCTTGAGCTAAGGCAATAGCGTCCTTAGCGAAGTTGCGATGAATTTCCAAAGCCTCAACGAAGTCCTCGGCAGATTGACTGGGAAGGAAGGGGCGGCGAGCAGGGTCGATTTCTGGTATTATCGCGCTTACTGAAGTTCTCAGGTTATATCCCATGAGCAGGAAATTAGGAGTGTATTTAGTAGATGAATGCACACTGCTGTTGTACGAATAGGCTAGGACACTAAGCCAGTTCGACCAACTCTCCTTGTCAGAGGAGATGAAAGCGCGAAGCATTTGTTCAATGGTTGCATTAAGAATTTCGGTTTGACCGTCTGTCTGCGGATGGTGCGCAGATGAAAGTGCCATGACGCTCCCGTAATTGGAGACCACTGATCTCCAGAAGATGGTGGCCCAACGTTTATCTTGATCTGAGATTATGACTTCAGGCAAACTGTAGACATTGACGACCCTTTCGACGAACAGCTGAGGTCTTATCAGTGCCCCCCTAATTCCTGCAGGAATCCGGTCATTCCTGCGGATTCCGGTGGATTCCGGAGGAATGAAATTTAGCAGGGAGGCCTGCTATTTTCATCATTCCGGTGCCTTACCATTCCGGCGGAATTTGGGCATTCCGGAATTGACACCGGAATGATCCGCGGAATGCACAGGAACGGAATGCAACGGAATCCGGTCCTTTGTTTGTTTGTTTTACCTCTGTTACCAAACAAAGGCAACGTTACCAAACAAAGGCAACGCTACCAAACAAACTCAATACCATTCCCTTCCCCCACCACCAACCATCCTCTTTCCCACCCCCACGACAGCCACGATAAACCGACAACGGCACGCCGACCCACGACGACGACGACGACGACGACTCCACAACGGCAACGACCACCCAGCAACGAACGGCAACGACCACCGTCGGTGACGTGGCAGCCAAACGGACAACGACAACACCACCATCCACGAAAACGGACGACGACGACGACACCACCATCCACGAGCACCCACCACCATCCACGAGCGCCCACCACGACAACCACGCAAACGCCGCAACGCCACGTCACAGAACGACGACAACGCGACGAACCCACCACCATCCACGAGCGCCCACGACGACGATGCCACATCACAAGCCGACGACGACGCGACGACGACAACACGACGACGCGACGACGACAACGCGACGACGACGACGCGTCGACAACCACGCGACGACGAAAACACGTCGACGACGACAACGCGATGACGACAGCACGACGATAACCACGCGACGACCCAGGATGACGACGACGATGGACGACGAGGCCCAGCAGTACCCCCTTCCCCTTCATTAGTCCCCACCACTCTCTCCCCCTCCATCCCCTCCCCAGAGCCTGCCCCACACATTGCCTGTCCCTCCTCCCTTCCTTCCTTTCCTCTGCTGATCACACCCCCACACCACTCTCTGTCCCTTCCTTCCTCACCCCTTCCTTCCTTCCTCCCCCCTTCCTTCCTTCCTCACCCCTTCCTTCCTTCCTCCCCCCTTCCAT